AGATGCATCTTAGCTCAGGAAATTGTTATTGAATATGTCAATGCTGTTGTAATGAAATGCTTCTTCTAAGTATGTGGTTATTAAGTAAATAAAAAACTGAAAAAATTATTTTTAATTAAAAAAAAAGAAAATGATAGGTGTTTGGATAGACAGGAGGGATCTGACTAAACCACAAGTGGATGGACTTGCACTGGGGAATGTCTGGGGACACTGACTTGACACAGTGGGTCTTAACACCCAGGACAGAGTATATGGGTTCCAATGGGAGGGTGCTGGTGGGGATGGGGCTATAAAGATGATTCAGGTTGTTTGGGATATTCTGTATGAAAAAAAAAATTGATAAAAACAAATTTAAAAAATTTTCAGGCTTCAAATGGCATAAATCTTGAGTAAAAATTCTTGGGTACTAAATATTTATTCACCATCTTATTTTAAATGAACAAAATTCCCATTATCTCCAGGAAATGGTTTTTTTTTTCTTTTTTTTTAATTGAGCTTTTTAAAAAATATTTTATTTTTATTTTATGTGTATGAGTGTATTGCCTGCATGTATGTGAGTACACCCATGTCGTGCAATGCTGTGGAGGTCAGGAGAGGGCTTCAGAATCCCCTGGAACTGGAGTTAAGAATGGTTCATAGCTGCCATGTGGGTGCTGGGAATCGAACCTGAATCCTCTGCAAGAGCAGTCAGTGCTCTTAATCTCTGAGCCATCTCTCCAGCCCCCTTTTATTGAGCTTTTTAAATTTCATACATTTCCCCCTCCCCCATCCATACCTCCCCCTATCCCCCACTGAACTCTATGCACTCTGCCATACATGCTGAGTCCTATTCATTCAGGTGTTTGTACCCAAGTGTCCTTCAGTGTAAATGCATCCACTGGAGTCTAGTCAGCCCATCCAGTTGTCGTATGTAAGTCATACTCTCCCTCACCCAGCAGCAATCAGTCTCAAATAGTTCTCAATCTAGTGCTGGCCTGCCACCTATTTTTTTACCTCCCCTTTGGGCCCTTGTTTCATTGACTGACATGGGTTCTTCACTAGACACCACCACTGCCACAGGCTCACATTGAGCAAGCCTCCAGTGGCCTAGAAGCCTCCACCTCCCTATAATCATGAACCAGCCCTGGCTCTTAGAATCTTTCTGTCTCTTCTTCTGCAATGGTCCCTGCGCTGTGAGCTGGTGAGCTTCTGTATAGGAGTCCCATCCTACACTCTACAGTCTCTTATTCTCCAAAACTTGGCCAGATGTGACCGTCTGTGTGCATCGAACTCTGGTGTACAAGGGAGCCTCACTGGTGTACAAGGGAGAGTTGAGGGGTGCATTAGCCCTCTCTCTACCCCTTATTCTGCTGTGGACTGCAGATGTGTCACCTAGTACTGGGCATCTCCCAGATATTCTCTGTGCCTGACCAGATGTGCAACTCTGCAGTAGCTTCCACCTGATGCAAAAAGAAGCTTCTTTGATGAGTGCTGTATGGCATGCTTGTCACTCTAAGGGAGGTCTCTTCTATCTGGCACTTCGTTCCCTGTCAAACAGCTCCCAGGTATACATATGCATTAATGTTCAGACACTGTGCATTTCTCATAGGATGTCTAGGGCATCACTTTTCCTCTAGGTTTCCTAGTCCCCCAAGATTCACTCATCTCCACGCTTTTTTCTCCCATCCAACTTCCCTCCTCCCTCCCTAGTCATAGTACCCCCAATATCCCCACCCTCACCCAATACTTCCAGACTCCCACCATTTTTCCTCTCCTGACTTCCCACCCTCTCCCACCCCATGGTCCGTAGTT